GTAGAAAATAATCTCTTCTGGGCCTAATTCCTTATTAGGGACCACCACATAACGATGTTATCGCTTCGGAGGCATGTTAGATTGCCCACCGAATGTTGCAGGTCATTCACGCAACAACTGAATCGTTAAATCTGCTGCCATCACGTGTTTAAAATCAAAATACTAAAACTCCTGAAGTGTTCAAGTCACTGTGAGTGCACCGTTTTGTTTAATTAATTAATTGGCCATCTATAGATGCAAAAAAAATAATGCGAATATCATACTGTCAAAAGGTACATGAACGTCCTCATGCTACATATTTAATAAGTGTGTTGTTTCACAGTGAGAGAATTCAGCTGTCTCGGCGGAGGTCTGTGCTCTCCGAGTGCTCTAGTTTAACTATGCGCTCGCGCGTAGCGCAAATATCTATACATGTGTTACCAACGAACACCACGTATCTTCTCAAACTAACTCTACTCTCTACCTTCTAATAATTCTAAACTACATTAACACTGTCACAACACCATTAATGCTCTGACAGCTAATAGCATTTTGGATGATATCTTGTTCACGATCCTAATGCTAGTGGCTTACGATTTCAGCAACAATGTATGTCATCATCGGCGTCGTTCTGGGCTGTGTAATACTCACCGCATGTGTTGTCATCGGCTGCTGGATATTCAAGTAAGAAGTCATTCCTTCTTCTTTGTAACCCAAGTGCAGATTAGAATAGTGTCACTAGCTGTGCAATACTCACCGCATGTGTTGTCTTCGGCTGCTGTTATTCAAGTAAGAAGTCTTTCCTTCTTCTTTGTCAAGTGCAGATTAGAATAGTCTCACAAGCGATTCTAGATGATTTTATCCTAAGCCTAATCCAAACCCCATCCATTACCCTAACCCTAACCCAATAGGTCATAGGTCTACGCTGATAGACGATAGTTAGGTAGAGCTCTAGTAGGCAGCCCTATATGGGGATGTTTCTCCCAGCAGGCGGCGGGTATACGAGTCACAGCTAAGGAGCACCAGCTGGAAAATCGACTATGATTCGATTGAATTACTGGATGTAAAGAGTAGACACTCCAAGAAGAGAGTAAAGGATGGTAGCAAGGTAGGCTTTATCAATGAGGTTCGCGTGTCCCCTAATTAACATTGCTGCGTGATCCTAGGGCAAATTTCCTCTCATTTAGTAAAACCATCTATGAAACTCACCTGAAGAGTGGATCGTGGAAATTAGACTATGACGAAATAGAACAGCTATCCACTGGCAAGCATAGCAAGAAAAAGTTGCCTGGCAGCAAGGTAAGAAAATGTGGTGCCTTGTCGGTGACAGATTTCCCAATTTTATTGAATTCACAGCAGATATTTTGGACGATGTACAGAATTAGATCGAATGTCACGTGAACGTGAGTAGTGACGCAAATACTCGTGTCGCCATCTAATGTTCACCACGAGTCTCTCTGGTCACGTGAGTGTTCTTGTCACGTGACATTAATCGCGCGAATTAGATTTCAGTAGCGTGAAACTTCTTCTGCTTATAGACAGGTTCTTTTAAAACAACTAAACCGTAGCAGCCCATAACCTTACCCTATACGCCGCACCGCATGTAATAAAATGCGAGAGACGATAACTCTCACAGGATAGTCAAAATTATGAATTAAACTCTTGTAACGCACAAGGTACATTGAATTAATATTGCTTATCGGTATTTTGCTAGCCGAGCATGAAGAGTGGGTCGGATAAGGAAGCTGCCGGTATAAGCGGAGACGCCTCAAAGAGCTCCGGTAGTCAGTCAAAGTCCATGCCGACGAGCAATGGACAAGCCACCTACGCCAAGATCGGTTACTACCGTGGAACCATGGTCGCCATCAAGGACGTCACTAAGGAACACATCAACGTCTCCAGGAACGTCTTGAAGGAGTTCTTTACGGTATAAAAACACGTTAATTACGTCCTCCTTCGTACATTGAATATTAATCCACAAAACTGTAACGGCTATTTAATCGTATTACTCTGCTATATATGCAATACTACTCACGATTAAAAACGTGGCTAATATCTCATCAGTGAGACATAATTATTTCAATTCACCTGCCAAATCAATTACAGCTTTTACATCAACAATTGCAAAGACAGATAGGACACAGTTCTTACTACGATTGTTGTTTAAGTGTAGTAAGTGAGAAATAAGTGTTATCAGCAGTGTATAATATAGATGTCTATAATATAGATCCCGATATTATATACCCCCGGTATTATTATTAAGAGCCGATCAATCTGGTTGAAAACGTTGGGCCTCTCTTCAGGATGCTCTGCTGTTTATTTCATCCAGTACCACAAGTTTATCTGCATTACAGATACGTGACCTACTCCACGAGAATGTGAATCCATTCATCGGTGCATGCATCGAACCACCCAACATCGCCATTATCTGGCAGTATTGTCACAAGGGTAGCATAGTGGTAAGGAAACATATTACACGACAGTGGCGCCACCAGCAAACGATTGGCGACAGTTACAAAACGCAAAACCTTTTCACTAATGTTGAACGAGAAGTGCTTTATACATATGATTTTACGTAGTATAGTTTAAACCTACTCTGTCTAAATAATATGCATTAAACCCATGGTATTGCGTCATGGTAGGGCCGCCTTCGGATTCAAAGTTTGAATTGTAGTTCAAGTTGGAATCAATGAGCAACGTGCAGCTACAGATGCCTTGCATAGCGTCATATCATTGCTCATTATATATATTTATCAGGACATCATAGAGAATGACGATGTCAAGTTGGACAACTCCTTCAAACTATCGATGATCGCTGACATCGCCCGTGGCATGGAATACCTTCACAAGAGCATACTGCATTCCCACGGAAACCTCAAGTCGACCAACTGTCTTGTCGACAATCGCTGGACGGTTAAGATCACCGACTACGGCCTACAAAGCTTCTTGATGGGAATGGGTCAGAAAGAAGAGGAGGATGAAAATTACATGTTTCTTCGTAGGTTATTCGCACGTGCACTCGTACAAGAAAATTTCAGCATTCATGGCTGAGTAAAGATAAGGTAATTAACATGGACGCGGACAATAAATCCATGAAAATAGATATCGAAGCTGCAGATTACATCACGGTGCATGTGGGGTGCCCATTCAACTAAATTTTGTTTATAACACATCACAGGAAAACAGTGGACCGCACCTGAGATTCTGCGCGAAAATTTCCCGAGTCCAAAAGGCACACAGAAAGGGGACGTGTACTCGTTTGCCATCATCACCTACGAGGTGTGTGGCCGACAACCAGCATTCAACTTCGACAACATGGTTCCACGAGGTGCGTTATGTAAACAAATAAATATATATACAAAAAATAAATAAATAAAATAAACAGACAAACCAACAAACAACTAAATAAATAAATAAATAAATAACTGAATAAATAGATAATTAAACCAACAAACCAACAAATAAATAAATAAATAAATAGAGAGGGGGGTGAGAGAAGAGTGGCGGTTAGTCATCATGGCTATATCTATTTTGATTACAGACGCTGTAAATAGAGTGCGCAATGGAGAGGCGAAGCCATTCAGACCCCCCCTCCCGGACGATGAGTTTGTTGACATCTCACCTAAGATCAAGGGACTGATCTGCAACTGCTGGAGTGAGAACACGGAAGTACGCCCCACTTTTACGAGCATTAGAAAGACACTACGAGACATCACTGGCGGAGAGTAAGTCAGATTATGTTACGGGTTTCCAAAAAAAATCAAAAATACCTGATATTTTTTACATTGGAACAGAATGTGACCCGAAGGAAAGTATTTGTTTGGTAAGTTGAATTTTTTCGCCACCAAACACAAATATAACTACTCACGTGGGAAAGAGAGTTAGGATTATAAAGACTTCGATACTATCTCAATTGTTTTCATATGTTTCGAGTAAAATCAACGTATAATCGGGTATCAACGGGCCATAATAATAGGTATCAGCAAGTTCTGAAATAACCGTTAAAGCTGTACGTATTACCTGCGGACTGTATTGATTACATCGGATACGTGTTTGCGCGTGTCTACCGCAGCATCATCATCATCGACATGATATTGAGCATGATGGAGAAGTATTCGAACAATCTGGAAGAAATCGTCGATGAGAGAACTCAGCAGTTGAACGAGGAAAAACTAAAGACAGACAAACTTCTCTACCGGATGTTACCCGCGTAGGTTACAGCTCACCCACTTCATTTTGTTACAACGCCATATAGCAACAGTTATCGCTGATTTGGACTCTGACAGTTACATACAGTTTCGACAAGTCCGAGCGACGCTTGCACGCTCGCGTTCACCGCTCTTATCTAATAATTTGATAGACAAATCGTAACCAAAATATGTTCTGAAAATCGCAACATTTTATTATCGCTTCTCTATCACGTTAGAAGGCTGCTTATAGTGGCAAACCCACCTTATGGTTACGGCCATCAAGAAAACGTACACACGCCGGACTTGCTAGTGAGTTTCCTTATAGGCTGGCAAGAATTCCTTTCCAGCAAAAAATAGTCTGATTGTTGCCGCTTTCTGCTTCAGCGGCACGTACACGCAACACGCACGGCACACCACAACGCACGCAAAGCACGCACACGCCACGCGCAACAAAACTCCCGGCCCCGCGCTCCCAGCGCCCCGCACGCCACCGCCCCCCCCCCCTCCCCCCCCCACGACCATTGTACGGCCACGCGACTACGCACGCACGCGCACTGCACGCGCACTCGACCCGCACACGCACGATCCAAACACCCACCCACACCACACCACTTGGCTCAATGTCGTCAGTCTTCCGCGCACGTGGCCATCTAAACGTGGTGTCGCCTTTATTCCCACGGCGCCGTTCTCTCGACCGATTGGCGTAACGCTGCGGAAACCAACGGCCGTGGATCGATGCGCTCGTTAAATGCTATTTATGAGTAATACTATAGACAGAGGGCAACTCACGGAGATGTGCATAATCGCGAGCAATGTATAACATGTATGTGCTCGCTGGTGGGCCTGCCTGACCTGACTCAGCGCTGCTGCTGTGACGGTCGCCGGCGCTCACAATGGTGCTGACATGCTGACTCGCACATAGCTGACTCGAGGCTAAATCGATGCACGGTGGCTATCACCACAACCACCCACACACACACACACACAAACCACACAACATTTACACACCCCACACCAACACATTACACACACCCCCACACAACATCACCACACACACACGCACGCTACGCACCACTGCAGGAGCACTCACACAGACCGCCCGCACGACCGCACGGCACACACGCACACACGACACAAACACCAAATAATAATATATATATATATAATAAATATTCTTATATAATACATTATATAATCTAAATATATATATATATATGTGAGAGTGTGTATAATATATATTTATTTATTTATTTGTGTCTATTTATTATTTATATTTTTATATTAATTTATCCTATTTAGTTATAATATATATTATTTAATTCGATGTTTAGTTATTTTACACGTTCGTCGATTCGATGTAACTCGTGAAAGTATTTCGGTGTAGCGGGATGTGATGCAAATAAAATACCAGATTTAAATCGACAATAGATTTTTATTAATCATTTAAATAACAGAAAACCATTTCTTTTAATTAAAAATTAATTTTTATAAAAGCTTGTTGGATTCCTTGTGATTTCTACTTCAGGAAAAACAAGTCTAAACAGATATTGCTTGTTATCCACAAGACGTGCTCTGATTGGTGGATATTACATCAGGTTAGTTCGGAGTTTAATATGCATAACAGTTTTTTTAGTAGTGGATGGAGTACAACTCACCTTTACGAAAAGATTTAATCTCATTTTTATTCATCAATTAGGGTCTAGACACAGAAATCAAAACCTCATTTTGTCAATTTTTTCTTGCATTAATATCGCAGAAACACAACGCAACCCATTTGCATGCATTGATTTGAATTATGATTGCAAGAAAATGATTAAATATACACAAGGATTAAAGATCCAAAGTTTGCAATTAGTCATAATTATCCATTTTATTACGCTGTTTACGTCATTTATATACTGATAGGTAGTTATAGATATCGATTAATCCGACCTTTCTAGCTTTCTTATGAATATGGTTTTAAAATTATATAGTCATAGCTCTTATTTATATGTATATGATGGTATTGTGTAATGTGGCCAATTTCTAATGACCATTCATGAGTTTATGTTGCTATTCTACACACGGTGTCAGAAGACAAACTAAGAAATGTCATCTATATAATTAGAATGTGACTATAACTATGACGAACACCGAAGAAATTTGTTTTTGCTGGTAATAATACACTAGTCCGCTCGCAAAATTATGTCACTATACGATAGATATAAACACAACGAGATGCCATACACATGTTGAATAGATAATGCAACTATCAGGGATCATTTGATTTAGTTACACTTGATAAATCACAGGTAAACTTGGGGTAGTAAGCCTTTAATTGCTTACGTAGTGTTATAACTACCTTTTTTTTTTATCGGATATCAATCTCTATGAAACGATTCGCCTCTCACAATGGCAGGTAGAAACAAGCTAATATACAGTGATGACAATGTACTACAGCTACTACTACACACACGCGCGCACGAACACACGAACACACGCAGGCACGCCCTACCGTTATAACTTATATAACTTTGATTCCTTTATTGGTTTCAGTGACATCTTTGTCTTTTGCCTCCGCAGCGCTTCCGTGCCCGTTGCCATTTCCGTTTTCGTTGTCGGTGTCTGCCAGTCTATATATGGGCCTAATATAATATCAAATCACGACACCAATCACGAAAATCACGAATCAAATCAAATCACGCGTTAATGAGTCACTAATACTTGACTAATTGCAAGTGATGCCCGCTATAGATGAAATGCCATGTTCGTTTCCATACAAACAAAATGGCGGAACTTCATTCCATTGGTTACGACAATGAAGGAGTGACAGTGGACGATCTTACAAATAAATAAAATAATTGTTAAATATGTATATATATATATATATATATATATTATATATTATATTGTGTGTGTGTGTGTGTGTGTGTGTGTGTGCGTGTGTGTGTGTGTGTGTGTGCGTGTGGCGTGTGCGTGTGGCGTGTGCGTGTGCGTGTGCGTGTGCGTGTGCGTGTGCGCGTGGCGCTGTCGCGCTTGCACGTGCGTGTGTGCGTGCGTGCGTGTGTGCGGTGTGTGTGTGTGTGTGTGTGTGTGTGTGTGTGTGTGTGTGTGTGTGTATGTTGTGTGTGTGTGTGTGTGTGTGTGTGTGTGTTGTGTGTGTGTGTGTGTGTGTGTGTGTGTGTGTGTGTGTGTGTGTGGTGTGTGTGTGTGTACATATTATATAACTACTTACTCTGTGATCTTTGGTAGAGGTTTGTCGTAGTTTTTCTTTCCACCCAACCAGTACGTCATCTGCATTCCCTTTCCCTATTAAACAAAGACGTGAGGGTATT